CATGATGAAAGTGATTGTGGTCAAGTGCTGGCTTCAAAATGTTGATTCACATAGACAGAAGGAGCACAAAAAGGAGGATCATGACGTGATCAACTAAAAAGGCCACAATATCAACACAAAGAAAGATAATAATCTGGTGCAAAGGAGATTAAATTGTTGTTGTTATTCTTCGCTGAGGCTGAGGGGATAAGGGCGGAGAGGAAGTTGTGTTTCTGTCTCATCTTGAAAAAGCAATTTCTGCTACGTGTAGGACACAAAAAACCATTAAAACAGAAAAGCCTGTCAGTCACGACAACATGTACTGTACCATGTAATCCCCCATAGCACCACTTATTCACAACCAATCACTCCACTTTTATTACATCTGATGATGAACATCTACTTGAAATAAGACATCAGTGTCATTAACGGAGAGACACAAATGCAAATATCATGAAATAAAAGGCTAATACCAAATTTATCTGCAAAAAGTGGAACATCCTAAAAGTCTCTGAAAATAAATTTGTGTTATATCTACTATAGCTGGGTATTCATCTGTTGTTCTGTTATTGTGCTATCCTATTTCAATCCAGCAAACACTTTGTGCAATTGAAATAATGTGATAAATGACACACAAGCTCAATAATGAGATAAATCACATGCAACTCCAGAAATGAGTAGCAGTTAAGATTTATTGCTTCTGTGAGGCTTCTGTATCAACTAAAATGTTTGCACAAAATAAAAGCTTATTTCATTCTAATTGTCACGCTCACTCCATTCTTTTATCTAAATTTTTACTCTCACTCCATTCGCTCTTTAATCTAGGGAACCTGACAGGAAACAATTTACAGGAAAATGACAAGCAGCTCAACGATAACTCAATAAGAGATCTCAGGATGAGCAATAAGGCAAGTCTGCTTCTGAACAGAGGATGAAAAATGAACTTGGGGCATTAGCACCTTTTGAAAACTAAACAATTTATATTTTTCTGGCAGCCTACAGCAAGCAAATGTGGAGTGATTTAATTTTTATAACATCACTTCCAAATCAAGTAATGGTGCAATTGTAAGCTCTGTATTGAAGCACTTCTAAAGTTAATACAAGCTGGTGAATGTGTAATTCATGTGGAGTTTAATGGCGTTCATGCATCGGACATACTGTGCATAATGCTTGGATAACCATTGCACAAGATGCAGTGTTATCTGCGGCATCAAACATCAATCAGTGTCCTCATCCCTCTCACTTCTCCCCCCACATCAACCCCCAACACTGGAACCTGAGTAGATAGCAGTGGAAACATGGTCCATTCAGCAATTATTCACAGAGTCTTGGACTAATGGTGCTCTGAATGCACAGACACAGCAAATGTAGGGAGTTAGTGGACCAGCAGTAATGGCCCCATACAGAGCATGTGCATGTGGATGTGTGTGTGTGTTTGTGTGCTGACGGGGAGGGGTATCATCTATAACTGATTCACAACAAGCACAAACATGTCAAAGCATGATTCCCAAATACAACTGTGGAGACCAACTCTCTCTTCCCCCTCTCCATCCCTCTCTCCGTCTGTCTCTTCCTCCCTCCCGCCTGAGTCGGGCTCCATATCAGGCAGATGAAAACATAACCTGTCACATTCCATCCCATTAAACCAGCTACGAACCATGTGGTCTACTCACATGGAGGAGCAGGGGGAGAGAGGGAGAGATAGACACAGAGAGAGAGAGAGAGAGAGAGAGAGAGAGAGAGAGAGGTGCATCTGGGTTCACTCAGAACTGATGAATAATTCACAATCTTTATGCTAATGTCATTTTAATGTTAAAAATACGGACAGATATGCAAAGAGAAACATACTGTATGAAGTGGTATGCTCACTATAAGCTTACAACACACGCAGAAATATATTTGCATTGATAACAGTTTCTGACAAACAGACTTCTGACATATCCATACTGCACTTCCTGTACACAAATTTAAAAGGTATAATTATCCTCTGCAATACCTAATGCATCAGAGTACTCACACTGAGCCCCCAAATCTGTGCATTACAGTTTCTTTTTTTCCTTTTTTTTTTTAGTTTGAGTCCATCAGCTGCCATTTGATGTCAGGCAGAGCACAGTAATGACAGCGCACTCACTTGCACTGTCATTAGCCCTGCTTAGTGCTGGGAATTAACACAAATTAAGTGAAGTTAAGTACATGCATTAGAGGATCTTGTTTGGGGAGAGCTTTTCCCTTTTGCTGCTGCTGCCTCACATGTTCCCCAAACACAAATCTGAAGCATACACATGTATGTATCTCTCCTCGGCTTTTAAATTACTACCTGCAGCACAGGCAGGTGGTAAATTCATTCAGGACTGATTAGCAGAGTCTTAAATGGAGAGCTCGTGGAGCTCTAAGGACACCTAGTGGTCGCACAGAAGTCACAAAAGCAGCAAACGCTGGGGTTGGAGGACGGAAATGTTGCTGCTCAAGTCTTTGGGTTTACAAGGGCGACATCTTCCTCAAGTCTTGACTCTGTTATATCTTTTCTATTGAGCACATGCTATGAAAAATCACAGTAAAATAAAACAATAATTTAACTTTACTAGATATTTTTTAAGTATATAACAGAGTTCTGCATCTTTATCCGCATCATATTATTTATACCTAAGGTAATGGATAGAAGAAGATAGCCTATATGAATCTTTCTCCCAGAATATAAAGCTTTCATAACACTTAATACAGACTGCCTCCTCCACATTTAAAGCTCAGACTGTTAACTACAGGGCCACTGGGTTAAATTGACAGGAAGACAGGGAGGATTATGTTCTCATGCTCAGAAGCAGAACTAACATCATAAATATCAAGTGGAGTAGGTTCATTTGCAGTTACAACACACAACATTTGCCTATTATGGGCAAAACTGCAGTGAGCTTTCTGAAAAGAGGCTAACGTGATGAAACTGACAGTTCTCTGAAATCCATTTGGGCCTCATTCAAGATAACATCTTTATCTGAGTGACTGCAGATTATTGTCCACAGAGAGGTGTGCTAAAGCTGGATTATCCCACTTGTTGGGGATGCGTTTGACCTGATGGACACAGCATGCCAGCCTCACACGCCCGTACATCTGCGGGTGTTTTTTCACTCGTTTGGGGCCAAGGACTGGATAGTGGTGGAAATGACGCCAAAACCTCTCAGCCTCAGATTACCATGGTTAGTGATCCACTCGTGTGGATGGAAAGTATAAAATCAGTCATTATAGATGCGTTTGAAAAGAAATGCAATACATGCCTCTTTCAAGTAGTGTTAAACAAGTTTTGTTTTGAACAAACAGCAAACATGATTTATTAAAATTTAATGTAAAACACTTCCAAGGACACTTAAAATGCTGAAATTGTCGTCAGTAGCTCCACCAAGGAGGTTATGTTCCTCAAAAAAACTACTGGACGGATTAATACAACACTTGGTGGACAGATGTGGTGTGAGTCAGGAAGGAACTCATTCAATTTTGGTGTGGATCTGGATGAGGGGCGGAGCAAGGAAAAAATCAGGCATGTGTAGGGATATATATTTATGTGTGTGTGGAATTTGGCACAAAAAAAATCGGAACCAGTGAATGTGAAGTATAAGTAGACCGTTGGACCTTGGCGGAGATAAGCACTCTCTTGTTTGCCACTGTAGTTCAATATATAAAGGTATGTAGAAGAAAAAAAAGAAAACTCTGCCCTGCATTCCATGCTAGCAATGACAGTCTATCACCACACCACAGTCATGGTTGTTACAGGCTGTTACCTCCTCTGGATTCTACATGGGTGGAGGTTTACCACCATTTGGGAATCTGGAACAAAACAAGTGTAAGGAAATAGTTAGTCTTTCCCAAATTCTTTTTAAAATGATCATTGGCATTTGAAAGGAATCTGTAGAATCAATAACCTGCTGTATTGCTCCTGGTTATGATATGGCACAACAAATCTGTTCCCATCAGACAGTAGACTTGTGGTCGGCAGGACGCCTCCTGTTCTTCTGATGTGTCTGAGGGTAATGTCAATTTGTCCGCTTCGAGCAGGATAACTCTGCTTGATTTTTTTTTCTGATATTGGAAAATAAAACCAAGAGAAGTCAAGCCAGTGCACAGAAGAGTTATCTTGTGTATGTCGGGAATGAAAATGAATTTCTGAGCTTGTACTTGAGCTCTTAAAAAACACCTCTCTTTTCATTTTATCACATACTATAGACAAAGTGTAATGTAAAAAATCTATCAATTCAAAAACTCTTATCACACTCACGCTTGTATGTGTGATGATACTGGGCTTCATCCATGTTACTCGACAGGATATCGTGCCCATGCATGAAGCTCTGCAGTCCTCCGCTTACGTTTATTCCTCTTAGAGGAGTGTTTCGAGGCACGAGGGGGAGCAGTCCAGGTAGGTTTATCTCAGTGGTAGGGAGAGAGGCTCCAGGGCACTGAGAGCACAGCTGTTGGAGAAATATCAAACAGGGAGCATAAGAAAGAAAGAAGTAATGCTAAAGGACAGGATACAATGAAAAACAGCAAATATTTACATAATGTGTAAAGATGATTTCTTAAGCGCCCCCAAGGCGAACTCTTCGACCTCACTTACATTTGCATCCTAATTATAACTGTTTTCTCCACCCTTCTTTAGCTGCCAGTGTGACTGCGGTGTGTCCACTCCACTCACACACTTGGCAGGGGATTGGTGATTCGATTGCTTGTTGTTCCACATGTATAAACATCTTATGGGGGGAATAGTAATTACCAGTCATCAATAACAATGCTCAAATTCAAACAAAAGAAGTCACAGCCATAGACCGAGAGTGACAAGTGAGATGGCAGTTGCTGGATTCAATAAGTGGAGGTCTGTGTTTGTGTCTTTAATGAGAGAACCCTCATCTATGCTATGTCATTTCTCCATCTACGATTAACAAGCAGAGGGGGTCTTGTTGACCTGGCTAATAGGGGGTAAATCCACTGGTGCGTTATCGGCTGGGCACATTTCATCTAATCAGCAGGATGATGCCAGCAGGGCTTAGGCTGCTTTTAATTCAGAGCTGCAGGAGAATTACTGCCGTGGTCTCTCATTACATGAACATCAGATCAGTCAGACTGAAAGAATTTGATCCGGGCTTTCCCCCTTTTTTGGTTGCTGCTGTTTGGTTGTTTTCATTTTGTTTCGTTCAGCTGGGCTACAGTTTACATGATAAGGCCCATTATGGGATTTTATATAAGCAAATTCTTTGGTCCTTTGTAATTCAGTCATGATTGAAGTAAAGTAGCAGAGTGTGGGGATAACAGATCATATTCCTGCCAAACTAACCTTTCACCTCATTGTATGAGTGTTCCCAAACCATCTTCATTCAAGCAGAAGTGCTCTTGAGGTCAGAGAAACAAACTTGTACTTGACTGGAAGGTTTTCAGTTCAGTCCCCAGACCAGCAGGAGTAAATCTCATCATCATTGGGGTTAAGAAACCAGTAAAGCTGCTCGGTGTCAAGCAGGACAGACTGAGATTGTACTGTAGCAGTTTTGAGGTGTAAATGTGAGTGATTTTCTGAATGTGTGTGATCACGGGCTTTCCGGTGAAAGAGAGGGAAAAAAATGATTTTAAAAATTCCCCATAATACATTCACTCGGAACCATGAAGAGAGAAGATGTGCTGAAGGTTGCACTTGTTATTATGTTGGCCAGAAATGTTAAGTAATTCAAATGTATTGTACTATTATTTCAATGGTAGATATGACCCTGTATGTATGTGTGTATATATTTGTGTGTGTCAGTGTTTCTGAGAGAGTATAGAGGTGTTCACTTCTTACTGATGGATCACAACTGAGGAGTTCAGCCCTGGTCCTTTCATCGACAGTGACCATCACTCCATCCAGGACCTGCAGCTGGGACAGATGAAGCACCACTGGTGCTCTGTGGAGAGAGTTGCGGGCCACCTGGGAGAACAAAAATGTAAAAGTTATAAATTACACTGACATTAACTAGCATTGAAAAATGTTCATATTGGCGCTCAAACTAAGAATTCCTGTGACATCTGGGGTAAGTATGGTGCCATGTGGATTGCAATGTAGCTATCATGTTCCCAGCAGCCATTCTAGTGACCCAGACAGGAGCAGACAGTTTTCTGCCCAGCTGCGGGGACCCTCTGGCCAGGGTACCAATCCAGCCTGTCCACTTAGAACTGTATGTTCCTGCAGGACACTGCTGCTATGATTAAGTTATGAGAGCATGCCAATAGATGCCCAGTGGATAGGACTTTGGCTAGCGAACATGGGTGAAGTAACAATCTCATGTGGTCAACAGCAGGAGGTATTGTCTCCGGGGTGGCTGTTGGCGTTCACCCTCTACCCAAAGGCAGGATTAAACCCCCCCTATGGGAAGAGAAGGGGGATGGGCCCAAGCGGTAAAGAGGCTACAACAGCTGAGCATGGCCCTATGGACGATAGGGAGCTGCACACTCGGCTCCGGCCTGATCCATGAGCTCCAGATGGGTGATGTAACCAGGCCAATAGTGCCCTGCCATTTGGTCAATGGATTTGCCTCTGATGTCAGATTGAAACACAGCAGACGGCTCATCATGTAATTGCTTAATTTGAAACCACAGAGTTCTTCTGGGTTATTGTTTAGAATTGTATAAGTGAGCATGCTGTTGGTAATGTGTTTGAAAGAATTCGAGACAAACAGCTAGTGGATTTACATCATTGTCCAAAATCACCAAAGCAAACTAACCCTCCATCATAATCTTTACCAGTTCAAAACGTCTAACTGTCTAACTTGTTTAATGTGCAAGCACTAATGAGACTTACAGGATTTCCAACAACTGAGAGCTCTGTCAGCGATGGAAGAACTTCTAGTTTGTCGAGCTCTGTGACATCCTAAAGAAAGAAGAGAAACAAAGATAATTTTAGGTTGTTCTTCATACCCTCATTTAATTTGTCATTCTCACTGTTTGCAGCTGGCTGTGTGTTGATAACAGAGACATATGTACCAGAGTTCAAGCTTTCATAATTTTGGTGAAGGGAAGGACGGAAGCAGCTGATGGGAGAGATTACATGTGTGAGCTCTCATTAATCTCATGAGAGAATTTGGCCACACAACAGGGCGTGGGGGGTGTTTCCTCTCATTCCCAGGTTTATGGATGGATTTGGCTGCAATTCAAAGATGCCCCCACTGTGAGGACTGCAGCGCTGGGATGATTGCTGTATTTTATGTCTTAATTGAATGCATGAAAACATTAAGGAGGTATAGGGAAGAGGTGGAACTCGCAACTAAAGTGCAAATCACTCATCCCGGGTGAGAGGGACATGCAGACTGAGAAGCTGATTACACGTTGTGCTGATTGTTTCCCCCTGTCTTCATACACAGTGCCCTGACCTTCAATCAAACTTGATTCTTCTTAATGCTACCCTTCGCGTGGCACAGTGGGGTGGTAATGACTTATGATTGCTATACTTCACGTCTTACTTTGCAAATGCAGAAAAAAAAGTAATACTGCTGTACGTTGAATAAAACACATTCTTAAACATCCCGTGTTTAATTTCTTACGCTTTTTGCATAAGAACCAATCAGCAAAAGTTAGTGTTGAATTGAAAACTACACAAAAGCGGACTGTGACCTTGGTGTTCACCTCAGGAAATCACTCTGGGGTGAGTCATTCAGGCAGTTTAATTGAAAACCTGAATATGTAGTTTTATTAAAAATGAATATGAACATTAAAATATTCAGCATGTTAGGAGGCAACAGCTGCTTAGACGAGAATACCTGCAGCCTGTTCATGCCAAGAAACAGCTTGCGGAGCTCGGTCAAAGGATTGAGATGGTTGAGCTCCCGGATGCGGTTCTCTTCTAGGTGCAGCTCCAGCAGAACGTTCTGAGCGATGAAGGAGTTCTCAGCCAGAGATTTGATGCGGTTCCTGTCTAGGACAAGTTCTCTGAGCTGGCGAAGCCCCTCTAACCCTTCCACGTGGCTGATTTCATTACCTAGGGCGGGGAGCCAACAATGTTCCAACAATGGAAACACAGTTAAAACAATAATAGTGTATACTAGTCTAATATTTATATTAATTAAATACAAGAGTCGATCTCACAGCCTAGATAATATAAAAGGCAGAATTTTGAGCTTATATAAACATCTGCCTGGTGTTTTTGCCGCTTGTGTAAAAAGCACTGAAATTACAGAGACTGCTTCAAAAGGTCTCTGAGCAAAAAGCAAAAAAAGGACAAGTAAGGTAGGCTCGGCTGGACAAATCACTCTAACAAAACAAAACACAATCAAAACCCATCAAAAGCTGAAAGAAAAGAAAAGAAAGTCAGTTGTTCTTTTCTTCCAGTTTCATCACCCACCTGGCCCTAGGTCAATGGGAGACCCTGCTCTCTGTGCTTGCCCTTTCACAGGTTCTGCAAATAGGCTTTGTGAGCGAGGCCTTGGCCATCGACCATACATACCTTGAAGGAAAAGGGCTTTAAGATTGGTGAGCCTGCTGAGCTGCAGATTGGCCAAACTGTAGATTCCATTGTGACTCAAATGCAGCACCTCCAGGCTGCCCATCAGTGGCTCCCGGCTGCCAGTGGGCCCAGTTTCCCTTAAACACAGTCACAGAATGACAGTCTGAAATCTCTGTGGTTAAATGAACATCTCTTTCTCCCCCCCGCTGCCTCATTTAACTAGTCAGACCTCACAGGTGCAGGCTACATAAAGGCAATCACATGCCTGGTGAACAAAAGCGTGCCTGTCACAACACCCCCTTTGGACTGGCTTTACACAAAAGGAGAATGCGACTCAAAGATCATATCATACAATACACTGACAATCCAGAAACCTAAAAAAATTAAACAAATATTAAAATACTTAGGGATAAAATCTCCCGATATAATATTAATGTATTTTGAATCAAATTCAAATATCTTAAAACTGTGTTAAAAACTATATAATATTGTGTTTATTTTCACAGTCAACAACCAAGACAAAAATGTGTTGTGATAGTTCATCTATTGGCAGGTCAGCACTGCCCCCTAATGGTTACAGTCTGCACATTATGTCAAAATTTATAGTATATAAGCAACAGTCTAACCTTGTAAAAAAACTGAAATAATGCAACCATCGCCATTTGTTTCATTGCTTATTTGTTTTTTTCTGTTCTTATAGCTTGATTAATTATTACTTATGCTGTATATTTTATTTTGTTCATCTATTCCATCAATTATTTATAATAATACCTCCACCAAGGAGGCTATTCATGTTGTGGGTGTTATGGGTCAGGCAAGAACACATCACATTTTGGTGCGGATCTGGAAAAGGGGGCAGATTCAGGAATAATTTTTCTTAATTTCTTAGAGATAATGGATCATGATGAAAAAAATCTAACATTATTCAGGCATATTTTAATTTTCTTAAATATTGTTTTTGTACTTTGGTAACACATGTGAATGTCATGCCAATAAATTGCATTGAAATTAAAATAAAGAGGTGTAACCTTTTGCCTCTGGATGAACTCTGCTGACCGTAACCACTGGAGTGGACTTTGCTGTGGAGGATCTGTCTGTTTGTCAGATGAGCCTGAGTCCGCTGCCTGGGCAGAATGGACTCGATGTGGTTGTAGTTCAGACACAGAGCCTGCAAAGAAGAAAACAATATATTTTTCCACGACTCAGTTGTATTTAATCCAGCTTTTTTATTTTAAAGTGAGAGTCACTTTTACCTTGATGTTCGGCAGGTAAACAAGGCCTGAAAAAGAGGTGAGGTTGTTGTGGTCCAAGTTGACACTGCGCAGGCTAACGAATATGTCTGCTGGAGACAGGTCAACGCTCCTGTGAGGGTTAAATAAGTACTACATTCTGTCAATGTCTTATATAATAATGTAAATTTTGGACTGTGGAATGTTCAATTTTTGGACCGTCTTGTGTCTTGCTATTACCTAATAGAGCAGGACTGCAGAGTGAGGTAGGTGATGTCTCTGTAGTTAGAGTGGCCCAGCTTCTCTGCCACCATGTCAGAGGTTAGTCTTCCTCCAAACATGTCCTTTGCACTTTCAGACTCAATTACTTCCTTGAGAAAACAACAGCACATACAAAACACTAATTATAATTACATTACTTCAATATCTAAAAGCTTGAATTGGTCGCTCATTGTAGCACGTACGACTGCAGTCCCGTCCAGAGCTTTCAGCGAGGACAGGTGGAACACCATATATATCCGATAGTTCTCTAGTTTCTCCACTAAAGGATTCCTATAAAGATCCAGAATGATGAGGTTGGACAGTCCCTGAAAATAAGATGCAGTAGATGGGTTAAAACAACATGATAAAAAAGTAGGAAAAATCATTCAGCACGTATTTCTTTCCCATGTCATAGGGTAAGGATATGTTTCTGTTGATAAAGTTCTTGCCTTTAGATAGTAGATGTCTCGTGGTGTAGAGATCTGGTTGTTGCCAATATAGAGTTCGAGCAGGGAGCGAACCCTCTGGATGCCATGCAGGGAACTGATGCAGTTGTTCTCCACAGACAGAAAGGTCAGGTTGGGAAGCTGATCGAGAACTGAAGCATCCAGAGTAGAGAGCTGATTCCCATCTACACTCAGTTTATTTAGGCAAAGCAGTTTTGACAGGCCTAAAGAAACATAAGAGCAAAGACATAACGTGATGGCTACTGTGTTGTGGGGCTGAAACAACCAACACACAACATATATGTATATATTGTATAATAAAAGTGTTGACAGTGTGACTGACCACTGAGCGTGCTGATTCTGTTGTTGTTGAGAGAAAGCTCCTCCAGCTTCAGGCAACTCTGCAGTCCCTCCAGCTTAGAGATGTCGTTGTCATTAAAGGAGGCCCAGCGCAGGTTTACCAGCTTATTCAGATTCATCAGCTTGGAAATCCTCTGGCTGTCAAGGTTCAGGGCTGTGAGCTGGTCAGGTCATAAACACATAAAATGCATAAATGATTAAAGTTGTCAAACATACATTGCACTTTAAATCAAAATAGTTTTTAGTTCCAAGCAGGTCACAGGTTGCATGTTGCACATGGAGTGTTTGTACTTTTTCTCTTTAATATACCACATAAAGAATATACATAAAGATTAGTTTTGGCTCTGCGTGTCAAATTTGTTGAGGAATCATCAACTACAAAACTCCCTGGAGGAAGCATTTCTGAAAACTTAACAAATGCATTTTTAGAAATCATAGAGACGATTCTCAGTCCTCCAGCTCGTTGTATATCTAAGGGCTAAATGAAAGAAACTAGACTTTTTTGAGGTTCTGGAAGATATTTCCCTTCTTTTCTGAAACCTCTCTTTAGTGCTAGTTCAGAGTCCCAAGCATTGAACCTCTTGCAGAGCTGTAAACACTTTGAGAGTCTTTTAGAAACTCATCCAAGGAGGGTTTTTTTTATCTTATTAAAGATGAAATGTCTTCAAGTACCTCAAGCAAGTCCAGCTGCCTTCATATAGCACTCTCGTTTACAGAGACACCCACATGCTGAAGCTCACCATTGCTGTCCAGTCTGGCTCCAGCTCCTGGCTGAGCCCCCATGGTGCTGGATTGAGAAGACAGAGGAGCTGAGCTGTCGATAGCAGGCTGAGACTTCGGGGTCGATTAGTGTTAGTGCGTGAGTGAGCCAGAAGAGATGCCTGAGAGCAGAGAGAAAACAGCCTTGACCGATTTACAGAAAATTCTACCTTTATAGATATTCACATAGAATAAATAACCATCTCTGAAGCATGTAACCATTACAACCTTGACAAGGACCAGTAAAAAGAAAATGTATATTTAGTATCTGTATATATAAACTGATATGTGTGAAATTCCCACCTGGTTAATTTTGGAATCTGCAGCCATGGCAACAGCATCAGCAGCCTCCTCCTCTGTGACCATCAGATCATCAAGGTGTGTGAGTGTTGTTAGACGTCCCAGTATGGTCGTTCTGACTGTCTCCCGCTGGAAGGACAAACACAGCTTCACTTTATACCTCCTCATGATGCCTTAAACAACAACTGTTATTTCAGGTCACGCACAGAAGCAGCAAATACCATCCACTAATTATGGATTTAGTATTTTGAGCTATATTATTTAGGTTTCAGCACGTACTCTGTTCCAACGGTTGTATCTGGTGTCAAGCTTCAGAAGAGCAGGTGTGTGTTTTCTTAAAACTGCAGCATCTTCTCTGGCTTTGGTCAACTGGTTCCACCGCACATCGAGCTGTTTGAGTCGTCCCAACCCCCTCAGCCCCTCGAGGGCCACCAGGTGGTTGTAGCTCGCATCCAAAAACTCAAGGTTAGGCTGTGATATTGGAAAGATAATTGATGATGTTTCTTATGGCACACTGTTTATTTTAAGCTCAATAGCACATTTTCCTATCATCACTCCCACCATGTGAGAAATGTCATCGAGGCGTGTGAACTCATTGAAGCTGATGGTGAGATGCCGCAGAGCTGTTAGGCAGGAAATCTCCTTTATCTTGCTCAGACTGTTTCCATGAAGGTTCAGTACCTGGAGATTCAGAACATTAAAGACGTTTTATTATTAAAATATGAAAATGGCTCAAAAATCAAGCCATTGTGTGAAAACCCATCATACTTACAGTGATCTGACTCAGGACGTTAGCTCTGGCCACATCAAGCAGAATTTTGTCATCCAAGCTCAACAACTTAGGCTGCGGTTTGAGCACAGGTTCCATGTTGAGGACTTCCTTGTCCAAAAGGATGTTGGAAGTTTCATCTCTGTCTTTGCTGTGTTCTGGTGATGCAGGTTCTTCTAGTTTCTGATAAAAACATATCAAAAGTATGTAAACTGCTGGTTAAGTTCAACATTTTTCGAAAGTATGGTTTATAATCGTTTCTAAAGAGTGTGCAGCCAGTAGTCACAAAATGAGGATAATAACAACATAGAGTGAAAGAGGGTTTTACCAAACTCTTACATTTAGTTAAAAGCCTCAATTCAGTGTTTTTGTGTTGTCAATTTTTGCTCAAATTGAAAGCTTAAGTTCAAATGAACTGCTGAAATCTTCAAGGCAGTCTTCGTTATGTTAATTTGGAATACCAAGGGAAGCTCAAAAAGGTTTCAGTTTTGCATAATTTTATCACCATCAAACACTCTAAAGGGGATGTATGCTACATGCAGCATTTTACATGTTAATGAAATAAATACATGAATTCATTAATTACCTCAGTTACATATTGAAAATATACAAGGTACTCAGGCAAGACGAGTTCACGGTCAAACACAAACCACTGTCTCCGCCTGGGGCTGCACTCAGGACCAGTGTGTGTTTTGGAGGAGCGAGGTCTCTCTGAATGAAAAACACACAGAGACACGATGACACTGTGCAACTACTGACTGAGAAATAATTCTTTTCATCCCTCTTGATATGCCACATACCATCGCTCGTTGCAGATCTGTGCTTAGTGTCCACATTGCGGTATACAGAGCAGACTCTATGATGGCTGCTTCTGTCAACTGGATCTCCCTCTCGGACAGGCATGCTGTGACCCACGTACACTTTGGAAATAATAATCTGACCTACAGGCCAAGCAAATACAAGCAAGCTTTTAAGTCTTCTCGAGACAATAAAAGGATACAAAACTGTGAGAAAAACTAACCCACCATGCCTGAATGGGACTGGATCCATACTGTGCTTACAGTCAGGTTGGCTGGCCTGTCGCAGAGTGTGTTCGATTCTGGGCTGTTCAGTCACACTCAAGCTGTTGGATAGAGGTATACCACCCTCTTTCCCTGAGGTCTAAATTGAATTCAAAGTGGTAAAAAGTCAGAGTTTGAATTGTGAAAATAACATAACCAATGATTTATTCTGTTATATTGTAGAACACTCTGCTGTAAAATTTCCCTTCCTTCTACTCATTCTGCTGAAATAAAAAACATTTTTGAGGGAATTCATTTTTTGCACAGGCTGTTTAGTGTATCAGTTATAAAGGTGTACTGTAGAGTTGTTGACTGACTACACTATTATGTACCATATTTAATTTTTCTCTTGCTCAGTTGGATATGTTCTGGGTGATGGGATGTGTTGAACTAACAATTACAACAGTATACACACCTTATATTGTTCTGCAGATTTAAAGCCCTCCTCCAGAATACACAAAATTTCTTCCATCGCATTGTTTTCTTCAGGGTCAACGACGTAGAACAAGTGCTCCAGCCGACGTCTGTAATTCCTGCTTCAAAAGTTCACATAAGACTTACAGAGCTACCTGGTGGTGCTGGTAGTAGGGATAATAACACAACTAACATGTCTCTCTAAATCTAGTTTTCATAATTTTTCATCACAGTCTAATTTCACTTACTGTGAATGGATAAGAGCGTCTTCGCTGGCGAGCAGGCTGTGAAGTTTGTCCTCGAAGCGAAACCTCAAGGCGCTGTTGAAGATGCGGATAACTCTATCGATCTTAATGCCAGTGATGCCGTGAACCCTGAAGTCTGAGTGTGAGAAGCGGGAAAGGAGGAGGTCGCATGAGGAATTAAACCTGTTGCACACAAGGCAGAAAAAAAAGGTAAACTTCAACTCTTTGACGGTAAATTACATGATGTCGTAAGTGCAAACAATGATACCAAATAGTTACCAAGGGTCCGTGGAGCTGCCCTCCTCCAATCGAATATTTCCAACACTTTCAAGCTCCATCAGCAGAAACTGGACTGTGTATTCCATCATGTTTGTGGCTTGAGCCAAATCTCTCTCATGAGAAGCTTCAATCCTGAATTTATAAGAAGGAATATTATTTTTAATGTTTCATCACTAACTTCATGCTCAGACACTTATAAAAAGAAAGTACTGTACTGCATGATATTAAATTGGATAAACTATTGTCAAATTCTCTCTTTAGACTATCCAAGTTTACAAACTAACTCATTCAGCCTCCTCGTCCATAGTGTCAGTCTCTCCCTCAGTGCTTCTATCTTGATGCGTATTTTTGGCTCCATGGTGGGATCACAACTGACGTCAGTGGGTGGATCCCATCTGTTGGATGAACCGTCCACTGGGTGGGTCGGTCCTCCTGGTGCATCGTCCAATGTGCAAGCAGACTTCTTACAAGCAGGCAGCACCTTGGAGAGCTCACGTTCAAGCTGGTGATGTGCACAAGAGACAACAACCCTCTTCACTTTACACAGTTACAGCTGGGTATGTCAGCTTGATAACTTACTGTACTCTACATACATTTCTGAGGGCATGACTCAGTGTCCTGACACATTCCTCAGGTAACTGGAGCAGAGTTTTCTTCCTCTCGATCAGACTTAACCGGGTCTCTTCCAGGTTCCTATGAGCAGTGTGTACTCGCATGTTGTAGTACATCATTTTCTTCAAGACTGTGGACTGACAGAGAAAAGCACAAGCTTAAACTGTGTGGTAAAAAAATCCAAAAGGACACAAAAAATGTCAGTGCAACTCATTATCGTGTCAATTACACTGGTCTGTGACAGAGTAAGGGGTCCTGATCGTCTCAATACCTCAGCAACTTCTTTGACTTGTTTGCTCGAGATGACGTAGGTGTCAAGTCGCTGGAGGCCTGGCATGTGGTACAGAACGTGTATCACATAGTTACACAGCAGACACACTGGGTTTGGGGTTGACGTGGGGTCTCTCAGCGATAGCTCTCTCAGATGGGGTAAGCCGGCTAGCCGGGTCAGCTCCTGTTGCAACCACAGAACACAAAGGCATGTTAGAGGACAAGGTTATATGTCCATCTTAAGCAGGTTAGTTCTAAAGGAGGAATGAAAAGGTCTCTAATTTGGAAATCTTTCCCATTTTTAAACAAATAGCGTATGTAAACATCGCATATAAAGTTCATATATTTATTCATCTGCGGATTTAAGGGATTTGTCCGGGATTTTTATAAATTTCATTGTACGTTTTCTGAAGCTATATAAATGTAGACATTAGAAAGAGGTGATGATACAATCTCATACAACATGAATATAAATTCTATACAATGAAACACTGAATTTAATTGGTGGATGCTTTAACAGCTGTAGCCCCTCTCATGTTTGCTGCACACTGAACAAGTCCAAATATTAGAAAACTCTCCCATTGGAGCAAAAATACATCTACTTTGACAAACTGAGGAACACTTCACCTTAACTACAGTTAGTTCAATATACTTTACACCTGGTGAAAATTATAATATTCTTTAAAGTCAAGCTGTGGGAGGACAAAAGGAGGATTACAGTAATATCATCTAAGGTGTTCATCCAATCAAAGTTAGAGCCACAAAACGTTTCGTGTTCCCTATCAGGACGACCCTGAAGAAGACAATAATCCAGTCTAAATGTTCTGCATGAGCGTATAAATCGCAGAATGTTGGGAATGTATACGTTTCTAACCCCTACAACTGCCTTACGTGGTGTGTTAAGATTAATTTCATGATCTTGAAAGTATATCATTGAATCATTAATGAGAAAAAGGGAAATTATACTGCTCAATACCTCAATGAAGGACTGATGCATCCAGCACATTGTAAGAATGATTAAAAATGTGAACTGAGCACGGCCTCAACATTTCACAAGAATTTAGAAATGCCCCCTTTTTCAGACCAAGGACTTTAATAAGATTTGACAAAATAAGTATGGAAACTTTTTACTGAGGGACTTTCAAAGGCATAGTTATGTTTTTTTATCTTACCTTAAAAGAGCGAATCCCGTTCCCGGACAGATTAAGATTTTGAAGGCCGACATTAGGATCAAGGCTGTGCCCTGAAAAGATGTTGAAAATGATTTGATTATTATGTGTTTTCTTTTAAAATGCTCACAAAATCACAATCAAACTTGGCAAAGAAAATAAAAAGGATTCCAACCTACCAATCTTTTCAATAATGTTGTCGGCAAGGTTTAGTTCTTTAAGGTTTTGAAGCGTGTCCAGGCCCTTTAGAAAATAACAACACACACATTAAGAGTGCAGATTTGACAAAACATACAAATTCATACATATGAATGCCTCATATTAAGTAACTGATATTGGTAAAAATGCATTTTTATTAAGCTAAATCAATCAATAAATAGCATAAGTTAATAGATCACAGACAGACACATGGACAGACATAGACAGATAGGGCCCAAACCTGTATGCGACTTATGCAGTTATTGTTAAGCCACAGGACTTCTAGGTTGATCTGCTGTTCTAAATTGTTGATTGCACAGATTTGATTGTCATAAAGATAGAGTTTCTCCAGTTGTGCACAGTTCTCTAGTCCAGATATTTCCTACAATACAGAGAGGATGGGACAAAATATTGTTAGGCTTGTTATGCTGTACAATTCACTTACCCAGGATACTGTTGTTCTTCAACTATGAACCATAAATGATGGTCCACGTGTGCAAGTGTTTGTTTAAAATACCAGAGGGTAAAATTGTGTTAACAGTCTATGGTGTTTAAGAGCCGTTGCAGTAAAACAGTAAGATGCAATAATTCACAATATAAACCCTTGTTAATCAAGACTTTTTATTGTTATCAGTATTTGTTATATAGAAATCTTAGCATATCAAACTTACTGTCAGATGGCACTGGACGACCCAGAGCTCTCGGAGCAGAGGACAACACTCCAGACCTTCTATGTGTTTAATGTCCTGGCCCACGATGGTGAGCTGGGTGAGCCTTGGGAAGAAAGAGAGGCCAACCATACGGGGGAAACCAGAGAAGAAGATCTCCAGGGAGCTGATGTTGCCTCCTTCTTGCGCGATTTTTTCATAAGATACTCCATTGGCCAAACACTGTTGAAATGATGTTTTATAATGATTAAAAAAAGAGTGAAAGGAGAAACATAGGGTCTTCAGGAGTTGTACACAGCCAACTGGACTTGCTTGTTAACCATAAATCAAGGATTGAAAGATTTGTTTAAAGCTCAGCACAGTCTGATCCCTAGTTATATTCTACTAACTCCCTCTGATCCAAGCAGTAATTTAAGATCTTGCAACCAACACTAGCTAGTAGTTCTACGGATGGTAACTGAGGGTGACCCGGCTTTAGCCATCACCCCGAGGCGTTGGAATATCCTGCCTGAGATTAGACTTCACCTGTTTTCAAATCATTGCTGAAAACATATATTTCATAGGAAAGCCTTTAATGCTTTAAATGGATGTTTAAATATTATATATACATATCCTTATTTTTGTTTGGTTTTGTTTTGATCTGTGTTGTTTTAGTCCTAGATATTAAAGCCCTTTCTAACCTTATCTAGTTAGGTGCTATGAATACTATGTTTTATTATTATGATCCATATTATTATATACACATGTACAACTCCTGAAGATGCCATGACCTGGAGTCTTCGCACATCTGAAACACACAGTGACAACCCTCCGCTGTTGGACTGAGGCTTTAGCAGCATGTGAGTGTTGTTGTTAAAACCTGGACATTGACTTGAACAGTGTCTGTAAAGAGGGAAAGTTTCACACTGACCAGTTCATTGATCGCGTCTTCGTCGCCGCGCTGCTTCAGTTTGTCACTGAGCATCATGTTGTTTCTGTCGTGAAATAATCTGCAGCTTGACAGAGCACAAGCTCGAATGTATTCTACCGAGGGAAGGAAACGACGTGACAGTTAGTGTAACCTGTTGCTAATGACATGCTAGTGAGCTAAACCACTAAACTCCACACATCCATGCTAGTTATGCTACTACCTAGCAACACAGGGTGCAGATACTTTACCTGTGAGCTCACGTCAGTGAATTGCCAAGAAAAATCCGGATTAACGTAAATGAAAATGTTGACATTCAAATACAACTGACACCATTTCCCTCCGGACAAACGCCTCCTCTACTTTTTGAAACACACCGCGGCTCGGGCCCATCGGTGCGCAGAGATGTTTGGCATCAGAATGTTGCCAGGCAGGGGGAGTCTGGTTGCTAGGGAGCCATCTTGGAAACTTTGAGGTCTTGGTCGTACTTTGAATCGCCGCACGAGGGCGCCACGCTGCCAGGTGATTCATCAGAGGATCACAGAAGAATAAATAAAATGTGGTTTATTTTAAAAAGTCAGACATTAAAATAAAAACACACGGGCACAGAAACATTTTCAACTCGGGTGATTGAGATAGAAACCCCGCTGCTTTAATCCCGCTGATCTACCACAGCCCAGGATTCCACTGGTTCGCATGTGGTCTGTGATTTCTCTGTCTCCTCTAAGTTGAATTCGTGATTGTCTCTCAGTCGGTGTCTCTCGGTTTGTTGTGATGACACAACGTCTCCCGCGTCTGACTCTGCCCCAAATAAAGTGTCGACGGACACCGTGACGTCATCACCGGAGCACTGAACTAAAACAATAAAGCTCACTCCTCCGCCACCGACCCGCCGGAGCACCGACGACACCGCAACGCACCGCATCAGCGTCCACGGCGGCTACAGGCGCCATCCGGGAGCTGCATTGCGTGAGTGACTGCGTGCCTGTGTGTTTGTCTCCGTCACCCATCCCAGCGCAGACGCTCATTTACAGTCCGGTGGAAGAGGAGGAGGAGGAGGTGAAGAGGAAGGAGCTCAGCGGCTCGTGTTTATTCAGTCCGACAGACAAACAAGGGGCACGAACAGCAACATGTCCGCTCAGCCCGGTGAGGAGCTCGGCCCGGAGGGAAAGTGGTTCGGGGACGACTACGAGAGGAACGGCCTGTTCGGGAACACGGCGACCCGGTTCGACGAGCTCCGCGGGGATGCGAAGGCGCGAGGCGGCGACGCGGCGACCGACGACCCGGCTCAACAATTCCAACCCCGTCACCAGGACTACGGGAAAAGGCCTCCCGTTGCTATGGAGACTGCATCCACAGGTAAAAGTCGCACTTAATGACTCATTATTTACCGATCTGCTGTGTTTGAGTCACACATCAGGGGTTGATTCCCCGCTGTTAACGGGCCAGACGCCGGCCGGCATTTTAGAAGTAAACACGGACAGAGAGAAGCAGCCGGGTCCATTTGTCCCAGGTTTGGATCCAGAGACAGACGAGCTGTCAAAACTTCTGCGTTTGAAAACACAGGAGCAAAGATGTCTGGCGAGTAACTTCCATGGGGTGACGGTAAAACAGCTGTGACCACACTGAGGCTGAAGGGAAGGGCAGGGCAATAACACAACATCCAGAATTATAGCAATGTAATGTTCATCCGGAGATATAAAACGATGTATATTTATCCACAGATGCACATTATTGATCTACCTCTGATTTGTAAAATGTTTTGCTGTTTGGCAACTGTGTCCATAAAGAAGAGTTAAAAGCTCAACCATCACTCAGGAGCATAAAGCAGACTTTAAAGATAAAATAGTCATGGGGATTAGTGATATCGACTGATGTGAGCATTTTTACCTCGATATAGTTTTTGGCCATATCGCCAACAAGGTTCAATACTTGCCATTATGTAAGCAAAGTGAAAAAGTATAAGACACAATTGAGATTTTTCAGATGTTTCATTACTAAAACCACATCAAAACATATAAACATCAAACCAAGTCAAAGGGAGATGTGGCCAAACACAAATCTGAGGTAGATAAATCACGTCATACCCTGCACCTCCTCACTGTGCTTGCACAAAGTATAACGTTAGATCAATTTTAATAAACCTTTGTTATATTTCTAATGATGAAAACTAGATTGGGATCATTATTTATATAGTTTTATCACCCAGCCCTATGACCCCATGTTTTTCCACCTGATGATATTAGAGTCTGTAAGATGAGATGCAGTAGCCTGTTGCAACTTCAGTGCCTGTCCCCCATACAGGCCTGTATGTATTAGAAAACTTATATTTTTGATATGATGGTGTAAGGGGATGATAAATAGATTATGGACCTAAACCCCCTGTTGCTTTCATAGCCAGTGAATGGATTAAAAAATAAATTAATCCTGGACTTCTATCACTAAAGACACATTTTACCAAACAGATTTTGTTTTAGTCCGGAAGTAGGAAGCAGCATGTATGATGTGAGATTCCTGCATCGCTGTTTTTCAGGATATTCAGATGATGATATTTTTATATACTGGATGCTGGGAGGCATGTGTTTTTGTGGGAAAATCACCTCAGTTCTAAGTCCGTCTCCCTCCCCAGCACACTCGGCTCATGCTGCTATTTTTAATCCTGAAGAAACAGGCCTCACTATTCGCTTGGTGAGCAAAACTGGAGCCGTGCACTTTCATTCACGAATTCACTGAAAAATTCATGAGATAATGTTAAAAAAAAGGAAGAAAAAAAAACGACACCTAGTTTCGTTTCTTTGCTCGTCAGGCCTCTTTCGTTTTGCTGGAGAATGAAAACAATAAAGAAAAAACTGTTCTTTTTAAACACCTTAAAGCACAAGAGCATTATTGAACACAAAAAATGAACAAATTCACTGAGATGCAGATTTTGACATGAAAGCAGAAGCGAAACATCCAAAGCTTAATGTGTTGCAATGGGAATTAAAGCCATTGCAATATTTAGATAACATATGAAAACTAAAATTGATCCCCTTGAAGCAGCCTGTGTGAAAAATAGATGTGAATTAATAACTGGCTAATCAGTGTTTGCACTCACACAAAAAGTAAACAAAGCACATTGTCCACCTTCACAATAGAGTACCACGCAAGCTCAGTTACACACAATCACGCACACACAGACGATGTTTTGATTCCTAACAGAGGAAAGAATAATCTTCTCCTATAGCTGCGGCTCCCGCTGCGTAGCTGTGATGTAAATCCTTCTGTCACTTTTGTTCTTGGTGGGAACGTTGCAGATCTCATCACATCGTTCAGGCCAGAGTGGACATCCTCCTCTTGACCAGACGTCTTGTCGTCTCTTCTGATCTTTGTCAAACACATTCACTAATAACCCCTCCTCGCTGTAACACACTGTCCTTCTCTGCTTTCCTGGTGGAGAACATTTATTCTGGTGAGGTCAGAGAAAGAAGAAGTTTGGCCTTTTGAAGAGCACGAACAGTGAAAAACTATCTTCTCAAGACGTCTAGAATTGCCTCTCTTAAGTAATCGATACGTGCCTGTCATAATCTTGTTCACAACAGTGATCTACCCACAGGACCCCAATAGATGCTGATCTCAGCGTTATTCAATTACCACAGGGCAGAGCGTCGAGCCTCGGATCAGACAGCACAGTACAGTAGAGCCTCTTTTTATTCTCAGAAGTTTCCCACTGTGAATACTTCAAGAGGCGTCAGAGAGAGAGAGAGAGAGAGAAAGAGAGAGTTGTGGAAGATGCTGCGGCATCTGATGTGTTGTGAAAACCCCACAGTAGAGGTTATTTTCAGCAGATGTATTGTAGGAGCTCTTCCCTGCTTTCTGCCATATAAGAAAACAACTAAGTGCATTCTGTGCAGAAACAGTGACACCACATTTTGACATCCTTCTGTTTTTTCAAATATTTTAATGGTCACTTCATCATGTCCAGAAAAAGTCCATGAATCAAGAGGAACCTTTTTTTCCCACAATCCAGTGCCCGGTAGGTGGATTAGACTCAAGTCTTTCTCCATTTCAGCACGTCATCAGCAACAAGAATGAGACAGCGATTGTCTGGCTTAGTCTTTTCCACATCTTTCAGATAGAGAAAAGCACTTAGTGGACTCTGCTGGACTTCATAAGCAGGCGTAGTGCATTTGTGTCTTTAGCTGGTGAGAGCTCTGCTCCTGTTCCCGGGGGGGGGCGCGGGCTGTCGGTGCTAGGTCCTTTCAGACGAGATGATAAAGATGCAAGATAATACAGTGGAGGATGAGAAGGAGGGGGAGGAGGGGGACAGCTTAATGGCGAGAGAGGCGGGGCTGTGATGGGAAGGCCTGATAGTTCAAATGACCAGGCTGTCGGAGGAGGAAAAACTGGAAACACAAAGAACCGTCCATCCTTCCACGATACTTTCTGTTTACAATCTTCCTCCGACAAAGGCAGAGGTCATGTGGCAGGTCCACTACCTGTCTTATCCAGCATCTTATAAATGTAATATATATATTACTGCTCCTCCTGAAGGTTTTGGGCCTCATCTCAATGCACCTGCCGGATTTACAATCTCATTCATCTTCATCCGTCCTTGGTTCCAATTAGCAAATGTTAAAGGATACAAGCTAAAAGCTGAACCCAAAAGGCTCCACTGCATGGGGACTGTAACTCTGCATTACTGCTATCATCATATCATTACATCATCATTTCACATGTCCGTCTGTCCCCCACGTGTTCACCCTAAGAACAATTAAAAACCCTGCATGTGAAATGTGATATGTCCTGTTTATGATCTCACTGCCTACGTCCGGCTCTCTTGTCTGTGGGTATGAAGTAATCCCCAACAGACTATTGCAAAACTGCTCATGGGATTAGAGCTACTATCAGGAAATGCACTTACAAATAAGTGTGGTCTGTATTTGTTTTGTGTAGGCTGTTGTGACCTGTGCATTAACACCTTCCTGCTAGCATCTTTACTCTTTAATCCCAAATTCTGTCTGAACAATGAAAGTAAAAATGCCAATCTAAAGTTACTCTAAATTGACAGCTCTGACCCAAAGCAGACAGCGTAGAGACACTCAGTCTGGATCCTCCCACATCCTCTCCATTCATCCATAAAGCTCCATCTGAGCAAGAAAAATACGATCAATACAGTGAGACAGGTACTGTACAAACCACAGCTTCACAATCTGAATAATAACAGATAAGCTTTCCTTTAAACCGTCTCAAGATTGATTTACCTTTACAAAAGCCGCTGGAACAACATTTGTGCTGTGTGGCCTTCAGTGATTTCTTTTAAAGAATGGTGGATACACTGACGATTTTTTCCCTAATTGTATGTCCTCATTGTCTTGGATCAATGCAGCTCAGAGCAGCTGTATCCTTCAGCACAGCTGTTCTCCTATCGACCCCTGCTTGTGGTCTGGTTGTACCTCAGCTCTCGGTATAGGCCGTCTTTGTTTGCTCCATTTTCT